CCCCAAAACCCCAAAACCCCAAAACCCCAATTAATTAATTTGGAATTAAATAAAAGGTTGAGTATACAATTTTAATTTAAGCAGTTATAAACTTTAATAAATTAGTACATTGATATTTCAGACTTTAGTGCATGTATAAATACCTAGGAAATAACTCTATTATCGATCAATAATATAATTTATGAAAACGAAATTGTAGCACAAAACCTTACCATAGGCTGAGAATCTCTATATACTTATAGCAACCTTTCTAATGCTATTTGAAGTATGCAGCAGTCAAATATGTGAAAGGGGATTCTATTATGATTAAATTTCTTCATAGTGCAATTGTAGCTTATTCAAAATTAATAAGTATAGAATGTGATTAGTCTTGTGATCTTTGGTGTATTGGACCTTCTTCATTAGAATGTGTTTCATGTGTCTCACAGGATGGAAAAAATTTGGGACTATTCAGGGATTTAAATAGTTTTAAATGTGTAGAGAGTTGTCCAGCAGACACCATAAGTATAAAAGCAGAAAATTAATTCTTAAAAAATGGCTTTTTGAACTACTGTCTACGTAAATCCTTATTATAATATTTGTAATTTAGCGAAATCGATATATGTAGACCCAAGTTCGAATTCTTCAAACATTGAACTCGGCACAAAATCCCATCCTTTTAAATCCATAGATGATCCCTTTAGAGAGATTTTTAACTATGGAGCCGAATTAAATGAAGTATTTATTATATACTTGAAGCATAACTCGAACCTAACAATCCATTCAATTCAGATGCCCCTTCTAATACTAAATACTCTCATTTATATAAAGTAAATAATAAAACTCTTAATTAAATTTAGACCTTATTTTGATGAATTCTAATAGATTTAGCAACAAAACTTGACAGAAATAAGAATTGTGCAGGGAGGCTACAATAGAAAACCAAGTAACTTCAATCCAACTATCAAAAATTCTCACTGGCTAAGTTAACCTTATAATTTGGAGAAAAGAATCTCTGAGGGAATTCTTTAATAATCAGCCAAAACATCAACTAAATATAAATTTGTGACTTATAACGCAGGTCTTGTTGTTGAAGGTTTTAACTTTACAGAATATAGTTTCGTTGATTCTACTACTAATTCTCTTTTCTTCCCAACATTTGGCGCTTATAGATGGATTAACATTACAAACTGCTATTTTCAGCTCGAATAACAATTAGTTATGACTCTTGAAGGAGGAAACATTAAGATAGAAAATTCCACAATCAATGTGATTACTTAAAACAGAATAGTAATATACACATCAATGTCAGTTTGTTCTCTTTATGATAACTACGGAATTGCAAATAATTAGATCTGGAACAATAACATATTCACTGGTTTAAATATTGGAGGCTATACAGCTCTAATTTATACATAGAACCATTGCAATTTCACTCTAATTAACAACAGATTTATTGATGTGTAATGGATTTATTCTGATATATCAATTACGCTAGAACATATAAGCTTGAAATGTCCATGAGAACCCTTCACAGAAGTGATAATATAAAACAACTCTATTGAAAACTCTGTTATGAGAATGTCCTATATCTTTTTTACTTTAAAATTCCTTGAAGATGGGATTTAAAATGTAATTATCCAAGACAATAAGATCTATAATATGTCCTATTATAGTCCTGGTTTGTTTGTAGTACAGAAGTTAAACATGCAAAATCTAAAACTAATTTTTGCGAATAACTATTTTCAGGAAATTCAAAATGATGTAGTGGAAACACCTGTCATAACTCTGAATGTACCGAACGTCATCTTCAAAAATAATACAATAAAGAAGTCTGTTGTACCTACATTCATAAGCCTAATGGCTCAGAATGCAATAATAAGTCAGATATAGATTTAAAATAGTCAAAGCATAGGTAATATTTTTTATGTTTATGTTAATAGTGGATTCTAGTTAAAAAAGCTCTTTTATAGCAATATTGAATTCAAATAATGTAGACTTATATGATATCTAAGGGTTTAATCTCATTTTTAAGAGCAGCAAATTTATTAGTTGCACCTCGTCTACCAATATTATGCTGAAAAACGTCGATTTGAAAGACTCTATTGCTAATGAAAATCATATATTTTATTTTTCCCAGACTAAAGATGTTTTTTTCAAGAATGTAACCATAGCAAATTTAACAAATAAAAATCCAGGTAAATTTCATAAAGTAAATTATTAATTAGACTCATTATACGCAATCAGAATAGAACTGCTTGAGCCTTGGAAATAAGGTGGCAGCAAAATGACATATAATTTTAGCGACTGGTCTCTGTTGAATTCAACTTATCAATTAATTTCGATTGAGGCAATCTTAGCTGATAAATACGATCAAGAAGAGATGATATTATCATTTGAGAATATCTATTTGGAAAATATTAAACTTGGTGGAAAACAGTCAATGTTATAAACGTCTTCATTCGTCTATGAATAGCTTGAGATTAATTTTAAAAACAGTGCGATAAAAAACTGTCTGATTGATATTGGATCATATTTTGAGCACTTACACTCGGCAAAGGCATTTAATATTTAGAATCTAAGCTTTATTGAGAATTAAGGGCAATTCATGTCAATGAAACCTTCACTATCAGATGATTATAGTTAACCTTAAAGAGTCTATATAGAAAATTCAAACTTTTTAGCCAATTACGCAGGTCAGACAGGATTAATATATCATACTAAAAATACAAACCTAGCAATATCTAGATGTAGTTTCACTGATAACTATTCTATTGGAAGAGGATCAGTAATTTTTGCGGAAAAACATAATTCACACTCGTACATAACAAATTCTAACTTCAGTAATAACTATGCATATAACGGAGGTGTATTTTTCACATAGTAAAATGGATTTATAAGTTGCAAGTATTGTTAGATCGTAAATAATTTTGCTATAGTTGGGGGTATTTTATACTCTTAAAATCTTGGCTCGATGGAGCTAGACTAATGTAATATTACCTAGAATTATGGCCTAAAGGCTGGATTAATATTTGACATTAATTCTTAAACTCCAATCAATATCAAGGGAGGGTATATATCTTAAAATGGATTATTTTACAAAGAGTTTAAGAATTAAATTCAAAACCTTGCGAACCTTGATAAATAGGACTTATATAAATGGGCTGTTGTTAACTTTAAATTTAAAGAAATCTTTATTCAATATATGAGAGATTATTTGTAAAAAGAAATATAGTTATATACTGCTTTTGACTAAAATATATTGAATTATTAGATTTAAGTGATTAAAGCAATGATCATACTCTCCGATAAGCTATTGATTGAAAATCAGATATCGCTTTTGGAAACTTCATCCTCATCTTAAGTTTAAATGAATGATTTAGTATATTAGAACACTTTTAATGTTAAATCTGAATTAATACATACAGAATAAAGCGAAATAGATATAATAAATGTAGAGATAAAAAATATAGAAATATTCGATTCGTATCTATTCAAGCATTTCTCAACCTCAGTTGTCAGAATTAAGAGTCTAAACTATTTGAGCAATAATGGGTCATTTCTCAGTATACAGGATTCTATCGTCTTTATGAATGATTCAAGTATAGAGAACTCAAAGCATAGTAGTATAAATAATCCAATGAATTAAATACTAAGATCCTAAGTATTGCTTAAAAATTGCCTGATTAATAACATCTTGCCAACCACAACAAATAAAGCAATCTTCTATTCCTTTTAAAGTGAAATAATACTTGAAAATTTTACAGCAGGTCATTTTAACTAGAATCTGCTTTAAGTAGAATAATCGTCAATAAAAATTAATAATTCTAGATTCGAGAATGCTACACTAGGTTACGATGAATTAGGCTTAGCTTTAATTTTATATTAAAGTGATGCAACGATTTAAAACTCAATGTTTAGAAATCTACATGCCTAAACTGGTTCTGCTATATATTCTCACGATAAATATTCCTCGACTAACTAGAAAATGCTAATGCTATCAAAGTGCATATTTATGTAAAACTTGGCATTAATCTAAGGTGGATCTGTTTTTATATAAGACATAGATGCATTAATTGAAAATAATACCTTCGAAAGTAATTTGGCTTAGCAGCATGATGGAGGAGCACTTAATCTACAGTGCTCGACATATAGACCTCAAAGTAATTAAAAATATCTTAATTTAATATATAGAATGTGAATTCTAGCTTTACAATAATAGTTTTAACTTTAATACTGCTCAAATTAAAGGAGGTGCAATATACTACAATTTATACTCACCAAGTGGACTGATGACAAACTCGTTTAATGGCAACTAAGCATTATACGGAAACGATTATGGCTCATATCCGTTTAAGCTAAGTTTGATATAATCTGCATAGATATCTACTTAAATGATCAAAAGTAATAAGATAGATTAAGACTTGGTTAGTGGATAAAAACTAAACTAGACAGTTTATATTGGAATATTTGATTAAAATGACTAACTTGTGAATATAAATAGTGATTCAGAAGCACTTATTACGAGTAATGATTTGAAAGTCTAACTTTCACTTAATAATAAGATTGCTTCAATCAATGGAATTTTCACATTTCCCGATTTAATGATAGTAGGAAAGCCAAACTATCAAACAACCTTAAGGATATTGTCTTCTTCAATCGATTAGGAATAGTATCAGCTTGTCTCTAGTTCAGCTTATTAAGGTAAGTATAACTTCTATGTTGATTAGAACATATTTTTAGATCTTGTTATTGATGTGAATTTCAGATCTTGTATCTCAGGGGAAATATCACAAAATAGTAAGTGTATTGAATGTCCAAAAGGCTCTTATTCCTTCAATCCTGGAAATCTATATTGTGATAAATGCTTTTAAAATGGAATTTGCCTTGGTAAGAATGATACTGAGGTAAATCCTGGTTACTGGCGGAATTCAATTAATAGCACTGTTATTTTTAAGTGTCCTAATCCTAATAGTTGCTTGTAAAATCATTTAGCTCTTTATAACAATAAACATATAGGGGAGGAAAATATTCTTAATGTTAAGAAGGCTATGAAGGAAGACTTTGTCAAATATGTACTCGAGATATAAATGGAAAATTTTACGCAAAGTAAGGAGCTAATCAATGCGTTTAATGCGAAGATTTATCTATTTAAATTCTCAAACTTATTGGAATACTGATTCTTATCGCATTCTATGTAGTCTATCTTCTCTTGTAAAAATCATTTATAATTAAACTAATTTCAGCTCAATATTGAAAAACCCTAACAGAAATAAGCCTCAAACAGTTTTAATAAGAATACTGACAAATTATTTCCATGCAACATTGATTGTTAAAGAATTTGATCTGAACTGGCCATCATAAGTGGAATAAGCTCTAAATTCATTTTCATTCCTTAGTAGCCAATAATAGAGCATATTTTCATTTGATTGCTTCTACTAAAATACCCAAGAATTAGGCATGCCTATATTCTTCTTTAAAGTATTAATGTTTGGCTTATTACCTATCATGTTGAGTCTCATAAGTTCTATGCTTTGGATAGGCCTATATACCTATAAAAAGTATCTGTACGGGAAGGCTTTCAACTTAAAGTAGTACATTACAGTTACAGCCTTTATTTTTATCTATTTATGCTATCCAATTATAACCAATCAGACATTTGCCTTATTCAGTTGTCTTTCTATGGATGATTAATAAGCTTATTTGAAATCAGACTATAGCATAAAATGCTGGGTTGGGCAGCATCAGACCATGGCACTTTACATAGGATTAACTTACATCATATTCTGGACTATCAGTTTCCCACTGTATGTTTTGTACTAACTAAAGAAACATCACAAAAGCCTTAATGATAAAAATTTAGTTGTCAAGTACGGTCTATTTTTTGTTGGTCTTAATGATAATGCATTTTACTGGGAAATTTTGATAGTAAATGCTAGGAAAATTATCTTTATTCTGTGTGGCACATTACTATCATCGATTGTTTCAGAGGTTAAGGTAAGATAATATATATTAAACTGTATGATAGGCTCTTATTGGTATCGCTGTATTAATATCACAAGTTTAACTTATTCATTATCAAATGCCTTACATCGACCCAAGATTTAATGAAGTCGAGAAACAGTCTATATTTGCTGCAGTAATTATTCTTCACCTTGATTCACAATTTTTATATATAGACACTTACCCTATATGGTGGCATGTTTTTCCTCCAGAGTGAAGTTTAGATAAACAATGATGCACTTCTTTTCCTATTTATGGTTATTCTATTTTACAACATTTTCTTCTTGGTCAAATGGACTCACAGATTCTTCTCTATACTCTTGAGAATTCACTATGCAAAGTTAATAAAATTCTCATGCTTTAAATTCCTCAAGAACTTAAAAGTAAAAGACTACTAAGTTGATTTGCAGGAAACTATATAAAAAGCAACATACATTGTTTCCCCTCGTAGAAAAGGAAAGTATGCTCATATAAACAATGAATCCTTCGTCAGTCAAAGATCAAATTACAATTCGATCCCAAACCAATATGAATAAAGTTTCACAAATAGAGCAGTTTACTTAATTCAGTCGCCAGTGGCATTACTAACAAACAGAAGAAAAAGCAAGCTTAGTATGGGTAGCTTTGCTCCATCTAGTAGCAGGTTAAACACTCCAAATACTCCAATTAACATCAGCAATAAGATAACTAACACTAATATCCATGATGGCACTGTTGATCAAAACTTCTAAAATTATCAGAACAACATGCTATCGCCTATGACAATAAATTATAAATACAATCAGAGCAAGTTTAAAACACCCACTAATAATCACAAGCATTCTGATTTTAGAAAGAAAGACAATCAGAGCTTCTAAAACATGAGTCAGGCATAGATATCTCCTATGTTTAAGCCAGTAGTAGACATCTCCTCTCAGCTCTGGAAGCATAATGATGTTATGATTATGGAGGAGTTCACTCTGAATAATTATGATTCGAATGATAAACCTATCAGCATGGCGTATCAATCTGCTGATAGATCAACCAACCATCTTCGAAGCATCTCTAAAGACTATAAGACTATTAAGAAAGATCAATAAGTGGTAAAAGATGTGACAGTGGGTCCATTTTAAGAATTCGTGAAGAAGAGATCTACTATAGGCAAGGATAAAGTCATGAAATTTGAGGAGATCAAATCAGAGGAGGAAGAAGAAATTGATAAGTTCTAGGATACCCAGTGAATAGACAAAATATAAACAGTTTTTTGTAAAAATGATAATAAAGACTGATTTTAATTTGAATAACCTTAATTTCATTAATTATAAAAATCTTTTTCTCGAGGGGTTTTGGGGTTTTGGGG